ATATATATATATATATATATATATATATATATATATATATATATATATATATATATATATATATATCTGTGTGTGTGTATGTGTGTGTGTGTATATAACGTAATACTAATAAGTCATATATCAATTTAAATTAATGTACCACAAAGCATACCTATAATGGCACCATAATGCATGTTGGCATAAGGCTCTTCACCCGTGAGAATTTCCCACATAACAATGCCAAAAGAGAAAACATCCACCTGCAGTTGTCACCAAAAATGATAGTCATAAGAGATGGAGATCAAGTATGCTTATCATAAGAGATTTCCTAACTGATGGTTGACAGAATCACAGGTTTCATATCTTCTGAAGCAGGGAATAAAATGGAAAACTTAATGTTAAGGTTTAATTTAAGTTAAATTACAGAAGGCCTTCAGTAATCCAACCAATATTGCAGTGTAGAAAAGAAATAAGAATCGCTTGTACCTTTTCAGACACCTTGTTGCTGCTTCCATTTAGTAATTCTGGAGCCATCCATGGTAGCGTGCCTCTGACACCACCAGAAACCAGAGTGTTTCGTTTTATTTTTGACAAACCAAAATCACCAACCTGTAACGTTAGCCAGAAACAAAGTTAACCATATTTGCGATGATCATCAACATAATAGTCTTTGTTGTGTCCACACAAGGATCAAAGTTTTCACAGATTAAAATAGAGAAAATAACGAACTAAATTGGTGGTAATAGTAACTACGAATGAGCTATAAAGAGAATACCTTACAAATGGGACGTGACTGATCTTTAAGATTTACAAGCAAGTTGTCACATTTTAAATCAAAATGTACAATATTCTTTGAATGCAAATATTCCATCCCAAAAGCAGCATCCATTGCAATGATAAGTCGTTTACGGCGATCAAGGTACCTGTTAATTTGCATGATTAAAAGAAAAATATTAGTTTATGCAATAAAAAAATGTTAGTCCATTAACAACAAAAGAACAGAAAGGATGTACTTGTCCTTGCGTAGTAAAACATGTCGAAGAGAACCATTAACCATGAATTCTGTTACAGTTGCTAAGGTACCCCCTGGTCCATCTTTAACAACACCATAAAAGGCCACCACATTGGGATGATGGAGTTGGGAAAGGATTTCAGCTTCCCGCCAAAACTCTATAGTCTGCGAGCAACCACTTGTTACTTCTCTCAAAAGTTCCTACCTCTTGATTTACTACTTACATTATAGTTAATTGATTAGCAACAAGCCACTTATATATGGGTTTAATTACTTTTTTGATTCAGTAAGAATAGTAAAAGAACAAGATAAAAATTGGAGAATCTACCAGTCTCTCCTTCTCGGATGATCGGCCAGTAAAGCAGCTCTTTTTTATTCGCTTTATAGCCACATCAGTGCCCCTCCATTTTCCATGATATACAGTGCCAAAAGTGCCAGAACCCAGTTCACGCAGTTCTTCAAGATCCTCATTTTCGATTATCTATGAACACACAACTATTAGACAAGCATACATTGAATCAAGATACCATAAAATTATACAACAAAACAAGGTCCTAACTACATGCAAAGCAAAAGACAAGCAAAAGACATTCATACTAGTTGATGAATTGAAAGAAATCATGTCCTAGTGTCTAAACACATTCTACAGATAACATATAATGAACTAAATGGCTCAAGAATACAGAGTTCTGACTTCTGAAACAAATTTTCAGATTCCCTATGCTTTCTTTACAGTTGGACGCCTTCTTTAATCACAATTCAGATACAGCTTGTTCAGAGTTTAACCACAAACCAGGGCCCACCTACAAGGACAACCTTCTTTAGATGCTAAACATGAATCATGCAGAAGAACTCAATTGACGATTTCAACAGATATAGTCGTAGCACTATATTGCACAATTTATTGCTAAAAACAGTTGAACCCAGTCGAAGATTTCAACTTCAGACATTATTCAACACTAAACTGCACAAATGATAGCTAAATATAGTTTTATGAACAGTGGAAGAACCAAAAAGAACATGTAGGATGGAAGATGCTCTCTATCAACAAAATTGGACTCCATTTGAACGTAAAATATTAGTCTATCATATCCAAATATTAACTAAAAACAATAAAAATTGCAAGCTAGGAAATATTTTACCTTCATAATTACAGGAAGTTCACTCAGAGATTAAAACATGAGTGAAATGACCACCTTCCACAATTGAAAGCTAATGCATGATACAAATCCCTTTAAAAAAGTAAAATAGCCGACAAAATGTCTTTATTTGCAATCAGACATTTACCAGAACTAAACAAGACAGCTTCAACAAATTCACAGTATATCACGTATCTTACCTGCAAATTACTAAGATCAAAATCATCAACAGAAGCATCCAAAACTGGCTCAGCTGCTTCCCCACCTTCAAATTTTGATTCCTAGAATCAAAAATAATGTCATACCACCTGGTGATAGTTTAATATTAAATATGAAAATAAATTTTCTGTGCTGCAGAGAGAAACATACATCATTCTCTGAAATATGTGTTTTTAATGTCTCTCCTAGCTTTGCATAAGGATTTTCTACCTGCAAACCTTCTCCCTTCTCAATTCCAAGAGGATGAGGGATTTGTGATGGAATATAAACCTCGTGCAAAATATTGGTATTATCTGCAATGGTATTGGATGACTCTTGCATTTCCTCACTGAAATCAATTTGGGAATCTATGTGACCAAAATCAACTCTCTCATTCTCCAAAGGTGCAAACTGGTATGGGCTACAAACCCCTTCTTCTACTTTAGGAAGCACAGATGAGTAACTAATGTGATCTTGATCCATAAGAGAAAAGTCTTTGCGTCCAAACTCATCCTGGGCCAGATTTCTGAAGAAAGACCAACGCTTAGGTTCATGGTTTTGCATGTTCACGCTAACTCCAGCATCATCTTTGCGCAGCAGATTTATATTTGACAAGTTATCAGCAATTCCAGCCTTATAAAAGATATCAGAGAGCAGATTAGGTGGGAACCTATCATTAATATCAATAAGAATGCGCTCTGGGGTGGGAGCAGAAGTTTCCTCCCGAGAGACAGCCCCAACAGTACTTTCCACCCAACTAAATGCTGGGGCATGTTGCACATTACCATTATATATATCCTTGTTAGATATGTCTTCCCATGGAATGTCAGCAAGAACGGAAGGACCTTCCTGTGCATTAATAAAAGCTCCAACATTATGTGGCTCTCGGATATTGATCTTGGTTACATCTATTTCACCAACATTTGTGGCCTTTTCCATCTGTCTGCTCATATTTGATTCTGGCAAAATCCTATCTTCAACAACAGTGGGCTTATTATATGCAGACTTTGGAGGTGCATGTTGAGACTCAGGCATCTGAATCTTCCTCCCTTGTTTATAATTTCTTTCATCACTGGCATCAGTATGATCAGAACCTGCCTGAACTACTGAACTTATTGAAGCTCCATTTGGATCCTGCATATCTTGATTAATCAAAGCACTCATGGGCTGAGGAGAAGAACTTACAGTTTCTGATACTTGTAGAACAGAGACAGGTTCGAATTTATAATCTTGATTAATTGTATTTTCCAATTTCTTATATTTTTCTAAAGTTGCATTATTTGAGCATGGAGGCTTTGCTCCAGACTCTCCCTCGACAAGAGTGTCAACCGCTTCAGCAATAGATTCTTGAGCTCCAGTGGGACATGCCTCATTTATCAGATAGTGAGAATTAATGGAATCATCGGATTTAGACAGTCGATTTAGAAACCCCGCCTGCTCCCTAGGAAGCCTCTCAGATTGGTAAACTCGGAAAGGACGCGAAGGTGGATTACCGTAGTTTACATTAATAACATCAGTTTCATAGTCAGAAAAGCCAGACATTAAAGCTCCGCTGGAGTACTGGTCATCTTCATTCATCTCAGAACCATGTCCAGCATTCACAGTATTGGTCGATGACAAGACTGGAGCAGGTTCTAGTTGTTTTCCTTTATTTTTTGGAGGTTGCACAGATGTCACAGCGTCTGGTGCCACAGCAGTATATGGAATTTCAGCATGCATAGAACTTGAAGCTGAAGCATCATGCTGATCTATGGTTTTGGCAGGTTCATTATTGTGGGAATTGATATGCTCTCTTTCCACTTTTTTCTGAGAAAAACTATCAACTGCCAGTTTTTCATTCTTCTTTACAGTTTCTCTATCAAATGGACTCACACCATTGTATGGATCTTGCAGCATGCTTTGATAGAAAGACTGTTGGCCTGGAATGTCCGTATAATTGGATTGGTACTGATAATCAGATGGCATAGGTAGAACAATAGAGTCTCTGCTATCTGCATTCTGATATCTGTCAGGAGGATTGATGGGATTGTAAGCATAGTGTTCACTTTCAACAAATTGGTATCTTTGGCCCTCAAAACTCTGTGAATGGCTATCGTATGCAGTAGATGAGCTTTCCTGCAGCGTTGGAGTGAATGTAGTAGCAGATGCTACAGGAGCAGTAACATAACCAACTGACTGAGTCGCAACCATGTAAGGATTAGCTCTTTCAGCCTCAACATTAAGATTGAGTAACTGATCCAAGTCGCTTATTGATGTGCTTGTCAATCCATGCCCGTGTGAAGATTTTCCAGATCCCAAATCGATGCCATTGACCGCAGCAACATACTGGATCTCAGAATCACCCTCCATACTGCCCAAGCTGTAGTGCACATCATCAGTATCATCGGAAGAAAATAGAAACATCCTGAGTTTATGCGATCCATCAGCTCCTTCCAGAACAGTGTATTCCTCCATCATATTCTGTAAATCTTCATCGCATGAGACTGATATCAAGGCATCCAGGTCTTCCCCAGGCAGCTGATACTTAACAGTATGAGGCCTATTATATATTGCTATTGTCTTTTGCATGAGTTCGTCCCATGAAATATCCCTGCTTATTCGTATAATACGTGTATCACCTCCTACATATCTGAGTTTTCCATCACTGGGACGAGGTATGATCTTGCCACCAAAACTGCAGAGGAATTTCATCCTTTTTGATAAGACATCAGGATATTCTGACAAAGAATACCCATGAAGTGTTGTTCGACTGCTTCCCTCACCAGATGACGCTCGTGGCATGGACCATGATGATTCATAATGAACTTTACGATCAGTTTCAGAGAAGTTTTGCTTCTCAACCTCCTTAAACTGCCAACTATCTCCGGTCGCAGGCGCTAAAACATCCGATGCACTTTCAGACCCCATGTGTGGTATCAATATACCCGTCATGTCTGTGTAGCCAGTGGCCATATTTTGATCTCCAGTTGCAGTTTGGATCATAGGCTTCTTGGAGATTGCTCGTTCTCGCATAAATTCAAGAGCGAACTCCTCTCCTGTCTGGATTGAGTAATTCAGAACAGGTGTTGCAACACCTAATACACTAGCCTCTGGTGGTCTGACATTAGCACCAGTAGAGCTTGGCGGAAACTGTGTGGATCTTTGACTTGCAGAGCCAACCCCCTTTCTAGCATCCATTGGATTATATTGAGACATTCAGAACTTGTCCAATCACTCTACCAACTCATATTTATCTCTCTCCATTTACCAATAATTGAAAGGGAGGAGCCCAGAGCTAGACCAACATGTAAAACGGTTTAGCGTACAAACTCTCCATAATTCCATGCCTGACCAAGCCAAAAATTTCTCTTCTGATGACAGGGAATCATAGGAATTAAACCACGCAGAAATGTAAGCACTTCTTAGCTCTGAGAAGAAAAAATCCTGCAAATAGCAGAAATCAAATTGAACAGTCATATAACATATCAATTAACCAATCAACAAGAACTTAACCTTCAAAAGTTATGATGGATTATGCATGAATCATGATTCACTAGTGTGAAGAACCACATTAAAACCTTAGTAGCTTGCTCACATTCTGACCACAGCGATGCAACCACATTAAAACCTTAGTAGCGATGCAAAATGTTGACGCCTCACCAAGTCAGCATTAACTTAAGTCTGAAGCTTAAACAAAACTAGGGTTTGAACCAATACAAGACACACCAGGCAGCTGACGGAACAGTCTGCAGCGTGCAGTGTGCAGTCATGCAAATTCTGAAGCCAAGCTTGGGTCGCTGTATGAACGTGGCAGATGGTAGGATTGAAAGAATGCTACCATAATCCCTATTAACATCGGAAGATGGGAAACGAAAAATAGGAAGTAATAAGATCTAGGACATGAGGACAAGCCACATCAACAACAATGAAATTATCTGCCAACGAAGCTAAAAAGGATCAATTTTTAGAAATTTCTGACCCACCTGTAGGTCAAAGTCGAGAAGTCTTCACTGCTAGCTCATTCCAACCCCAAGACGAGCGAGCTCCAACATCACTAACACAGCCTGTAAAGACGGTCAAAGGGATTCAATTCATGGGCAAGAATAAGGCATAACTATAAATCACGACCTAAATCGGACCAAGAAGAACATCGAGTTACAGATACCTCCGACCTCAGAATCCGAAAACGCTCCGATCGCAGCAACGGAAGCCGGAAACCACACGGATAAGCTGAAAAGGTTAGGGCTACAGATCAGACGATCGATGTCCAAGATCAAAACCTCGAATCGTTCCCAAGGGTCGACGGATGGAAGGAGGAAGCTCGGCGGACGGGGGATCCGCACGGGGCGCTCTTCTCGCTTGGTCGACAAGCAAGCGAGGTGGACAGGAATGGAGGCCGCCGTCCTTCCCGACAACGCCATTTAAACCCACGGTCCGGTTCGGTCCAGTCACCGGTTCGAAACTCCGACCCGGTCTGGAGGTTGACAATTGAAAAAGCGAGAGCGAGTGACAGAGAGACAGTGAGAGGGAGAGGGAGAAGACGCCGCCGTTTGCCGTCGAGGTCTACCGCCTCCACCGCTCTGGAGAGGGGAGGAGAAGACGAACCGCCATGGCTTCTCTTCTTGCATGTAGAATTCCGCGAGCCGACGAAGATTAGACACACTGTGCTTGCACTGCACGCCGCAGAGACATGAGAGGGCAAAGGCTTCATCTTGCATACACAGTCTTCCCACATCTATGAACTCCACATGGTCAACAAATATGAAATCCAAACTGCACTGCCGATAGCATCATCAAAGCTTCCTTTTACCAACTCCCATTAATATCAAATGCTAAGCTTTGATCCCAACATCTTTCTTCCTACTTGATGAAGCAGGGTGTAGGAATCATCATCAGCTCTTTCCTGTTTGGTGAGCTGATGTTTCATTTGATTATATGATTCTACCAGTTGTGTTCTTCCAAGTCATTAACGTTTCTCACACTTGCTATGTAAGAGAGACAATCAATGAAACAAAAAGGTAATAAGCATACAAAGTACACAATTGCAGTCGATTTCACTGCACAAATCCAACAGTTTCTTCATCTTTCTCTTCCTGCAGATTGATTTACAAGCGAAGAAGATTGTACAAAACATCTAATCTTATTACTAGTAGCATCCAAGATGAAGTTTAGATTACTGTAATGCCACTTTGACAACCATTGTTGAGGACATTATTCCGAAGGGAAGGGAAGAAAAGGAAGCTCCTCTGCACCGCATCCTTGCCCGGGCGAGCTGCCTTCAAGAGAGAGACGATGTGCTCCATCAGCTTCTCCTCGCAGGGCACCCTCAGTGGCCCATCACTGGCCGTCCCGAACTCCTCCTCTGCCATCTCCAGCAGCACCTGAAATATGGGGTGTTCCAAGTACTTCAAAGGAACCATAAACCTCTTCCCTTCCTTGGCATACACCACAAAGTGCCCCTTGCTTCTCTTCCTCCTCCCCTTGCTCGCCAGCCTCTGCCATTTCCTCAAGATCAGCTCACTCAGAGTGTGGGAGCTCATTTGGCTCTCCTCTCAGAGCCGAAGGAGTGGGAGGAAGATGATGCGGCTGAGGAGGGGCTTTATGGGCTGGGGGAAGGCAGCATAAATACCACAAGGGAAGAGGTGTGAGGAGGGGGTTGGTGGGGCGCGTGGGGAAGAGCCAAGGAGTCATGTGAAATGAGATCTATCCATGAAGTAGGGGCATGTGAAGGACTATGTTCACTATGTCCTCTTTTAAGGAACACATCCTTGAAATGTGTTTTGAGTTCCTACAGTGCTCTTTTTTTCCCAAGATTGACTCATGATTAATTTGGATGGTGATAAATATGACACAAATCAATAGGTAAGCAGATCTCACAATAAATCTTTGGTTTTGTATGAACATTAAGAACAGGAATTGATGATGTAGTCCATGCATCAAGAGTTATAGCAGTCCTTTATGGAGAAGCTAACTGTAGTACTTTTGATTTTGGAGATATTAGGATCTTTCTTTGTCTCCTTATCTAAATGGCCAAAAACAGGATATCATAGGTAGATAATTTTTTTTTATCTCATGATAAATTTTAAATATTATTAAAGATATTTTATCTTCTGTAGATAATTATAAGATTTCACATATATTTCATAAAGAAAATAATCTAATTAATTAGTTCTTTAATCTTTCGATTTGGATATCGTATTGATACGAACTGTTTATTCCTATCAATTTCATCGATATTTTTAGGTATTTTATACCAAAAACATACCTTTGATCATCTTTCAATTAATCTCTGCATTTATTTTCTCTTTTTTCAACTGATAACCTTCGTGTGCTTGCATTTTCTTAACCTTCTGAAGGAAAAGATGATACTATAGTCCTCTTTTGTGCTAGTCTTTAACTTCTACTGTCCAATTCAAAATTCTAATTTGCTGTTCTTCTTTTTAATGTAAAGATTTGTTTCCTGTTTCTTTCTCTCTTTTGATGCAGTTTAGAGTTGTTCTATTTGTCTGAAGCTTATTGCTTATAAAGTGGTTATATAATATTGCTTTGCAAATTCCAACATTCCCTCATCCACACTTCATCTAAGTGCATCCATCAAGCATGAACATGTTCTAAGTTATCACAGGATGAAATAGACTGCTTACTTATTTCATCCTAATCCAATTAACTAATTAAGTGCTTAAATTAATATATAATTTGGATTAGGTAGGTCATTATTTTATAACTTATTTTTTATTATATTTGATAGAACATATTATGGATTCCGTCACGAGGACACGACCCCCGTCATGTCAATCCAAGTACGGAGCCTCGGGAGGAAGACACAGCACCACCAGAAATATGGGATAACAACTGTTCTCCTCCCGCGTCGTCTCGCATCGTGCTAACCAGCATCACCGCAATAAGGATCGCTCCGGGAAACTTGAAACGGTGCCGCATGGCGCCATCCGACATATCTCGGGTGACGAACGTTTGAAGGTACACTCGTCGCTCGAGGAGTCGACCGTCGCGTGAAGGTTGTGTATAACCGATCTCAGGCACTATGATAAAAATCCCTTGCCAACATCTGACAAGTGGCATCTGGAATATTAGAACACCACTAACTTGATCTTTGGATGGGCCTAAGTTGGGGATCTTCCTCCTCATCGCAACCTAAGCTAGTGTGTAAGAATTTGATAGCGACAAAGACGGACAAGCTTGCTGAAGAGGCGTATCCTAACCAAATCCAAGCCCGATTCGATCAGGCAAAAATCTTATCTCCCATACCGTCCTAAACATCGCCAATCGAACCAAATCATATCGACCCCATGGTGACGACGACATAAAGTTCACCAACAACATGAACTAGAAATATTTTCTGCAACTTTTTAGATGACAGAGTTCAGCATACCATCATCTATGCCTTGTAAGGAGGTAGGACTAGCTATCAGGGATCTTCCTGCATTCCCTTACATGAAAAGAAAGACTCACTCAAGCACTAGGGTTAGTGCCATCCTCACTAGACATTTGACTGACCGAGTTTCTCCGATACATTCTGATGTTTCTCCAATTTCTGGATCCAACTCTTAGAAAAATGTTGATTTTGATGTGTCTGCCACCATTATTATCTCGGAACATAAAATGATCCGTAAGCATTGCTCGGATTCGAGATAAAGGAAAATCCCCCAAAAAAAATGATCGGTAAAATCTCATAGGTTGCGAAGCAAAACAGAGGAATCCGTCGAGGAGAGTTCTTCACTAGCATATTATGGAGAGACCAGCAGCAGCTTAGGATTAACGAGTAGCATTCCATGGAATTGTAGCCAACTTCTTCCCATCCATCGTTAAATCCACAAGGCACCAAAAGCCTGGGTAAGGTGTTCGACCATGTGCTTCAGCCCCCGGAACTCGAGTGCTCGTGTAATAGAAAAGATAAAGATGTCGCCCATGGCGGCCATGGCGGAGCCGGAGAGGTCGCTCTTTGGCAACACATGCCGGTCCTTGGTGATGATGATTCAGTGCGTGTAAAGATCGACGTGCATCATGGCTACTTGTGGGCGAGGGAAGAGCAAGTAGATGGATGATCCGGTTGTTCTTGTTTACTGAACGTGAGAATGAGGTGCATCACCGTGAGCTGTTTCTGTGTACAGCAAACGAAGGCAAAACCTGTGCAGTAGCAGCGAGCAAAATAGATGAAGATGGAAGAGCTTAACGAGAGAGGAGGGACGACATGGACCGACACACGACCGACTTTTTGCTCCATTCGAGGCGGAAGGTCACCTGCGTTGTACTGCCCCTCGGGCCGAGCTAAGCAGACGCTCTCACTCGCGTGCGGCTTGACGACTCATATGGACTTGTAGGGCTCGCACCCCAGACACCGTAAGTGCCCTGTAAAGATGACGCGCCTCACGATAACAAGTGCCACGAGAGAACCGAACGGCGTGTCTCCACCGACCTCTCGAGTTCGTCCACCGACGCTGGCAAGGCCACCTGGGGCTCACAGAGACCACTTGCCGCGCGGCCACGTTCCGCTTGCTGTCTCTGTCCTTTCCTCCGTAATCCTAACGAGTTCTTTATTCGATTCCTACGTCGCGTTCGTAGCGAGGCAACGCATCGATCTCTGCGTGACTGCACCATCCGGCAAAGCTCTATATAAAGCCATGTCTCTCCTTCCTCCAAAAACCAGTCCATACGGTAGTTGCTTTGTTGTTGAGTGTTGAACTGTTTCTACAGATATATACCATGGCGGAGGAGCACAACAAGGCCATGGAGAGCGGTGAGGAGGTGGCGGTCCAAGACCGGGAGTTGTTTGACTTCATGGAGAAGAAGAAGGATGAGGAGAGGAAGGAGTGCCATGAGGAGGAGGAGGTTCTGGTGACCGGGGTGGAGAAGGTTCAGATCGAGGAGGGAGAGAAGGCGAACGAGGAGGAGAAGATGGGTCTTCTGGAGAAACTCCACCGGTCTCACAGCTCCAGCTCTAGCTCGGTATGTACTCCTTTAACCATGGTTGAATCAAGACTACGACTGTAGATATGACCGAACTGTTAAGCTCTTCTTTATCGTGCGTGTGCAGTCGAGCGATGATGAAGAAGAAGCTGAAGGAGAGAACAAGGAGAAGAAGAAGAAGAAGAAAGGTCTGAAGGAAAAGATCAAGGAGAAGCTTGTATGCGAGGAAGAAGCCAAGAAACCCGAGGTCGATGAGGGCACCGCGGTGGTGGTGGAGAAGATGCAGGAGGATACTGTGAAGGTGGAAGCTACCCCGCCAGAGCAGGAGAAGGGGCTCCTGGAGAAGATCAAGGAGAAGCTGCCCGGCCACAAGAAGCCCGCCGACGAGGCTCCGGCACCGCCGTCCCCATGCGCCGGCCATGGCGAGGAGCACGAGCGGGATGAGGGGAAGGAGAAGAAGGGCATACTGGGAAGGATCATGGAGAAGCTGCCTGGCTACCACAAGACCGAGGAGAAAGAGGGGGAGAAGAAGAGTCCTTCTAAGTAAGACGAGCCAAAGGTGTCCCGAGCTTGACGGTGTCGTCTCTGTCCTGCGTCTGGTGTTTTTGGTTCGTGTCATGCTTGATTTGTGCTGCCAGTTTCGTTGTTTTAACGACAATGAGTGATGTTTTCAAAAGAGAATAATGATTGATTGGTTTTTTCTTTCAAAA